GGGGGGGTGTGAGGGGGAGGCTTTAAAAAGTAGCCCCCTATTTGTTAAAAAGAGTGTTGTGTAAAGTTCTGACTCTAACCCTACCTTTTTTGTTGTTGTTTTCTTCTCAGAATCATGATCAGCTGGTGGCCATAAAAGCCATCAAGAAGAAAAACTTTCTAAAGTCTCAGCAGCTGCTCAGCAAGGAAATCACTATCCTAAAGGTACGTCCACACTGGTCACTGCTAAATGAAGTTGTTTTTCGTTGCGATATGACACAATATACATGTAGATAGTTTAGGAGGGCTTACGGCCCTGCCTGACATAGATACATCATCCCGGCAGAAAGACCAAGATACTTGATGAAAATTTCTTCCCCACTTGGGAATGGAACTGTGATCTCTTGCGTTCAATGGCAAAATACTTGACCACTACACCACAGATGCAGGTCCGACAGTATCAAATAAATAAAAAAAAGTTTGAAATGGGCAATACGCATTGGGTATTATTATTGTAGTTATTATCAGCATCCGGCTGCAGTTGTCCAAATCAGTGTCTGGGTTTTGTTTCACATAAAAGTATGTAAAGCTGTTGATTTTTTTTTGTTTCATTATATTGAAAGATTCCATGTTCCCAACATATGGTTCTTATTTAGGCGATCTCTTTGTCTCTAAATTTCTCAAATGTCGGTGCTTGGAAGCGCGCCATTGATTAGTATACGTATTCCTCTGTCTTGTCTGGCTGGCTGGCTGTTTTCGAGCACTTGTCGCAGGTGGTGGGAGGGCGCCATTAGTGGGTCCTACTTCTGTTGTTTCTATCTGTTGCATTTCTTTCCTCTTCAGCACTAAGTGACCGTTTTTGTTGCAATGTGCACCTCTTTCCTCTAACAATCTAGCATTTGTTGGCTGAACATTAATGTTGCGTCAGTTTGTTTCTATTCACTCATAAATAAAGTTAGTCTTACAGAACTGATATCTGTGGTGCAGTTAGTGGTTATGGGTATGGCCTTGTCGTCACACGCAGAAGACCTAAGTTTGACTCTCGTTTGGGGAAAATTTTTATCAAGTATCTCGGCCTTTCTGCTGGGACATTGTCCCCTCAGTCCAGGTTGGTCCCGATAGGCAGGGTTGGAGCTCGCTTTTTGAATAACCTTAATAGCACCGACAGGGGCGTAAAATACTTACTTACAATAAAAACAAATAATAAGCTTACCTCTTACATAAATTCCCTCTCACCTGTTGTTTGTGATCTCTTCCCACAGGAGTTATCCAGTCTTCACCACCAGAACGTTGTTGGTCTATTAGACTGTGTGGTGAGTACGACCCTTGTTTTGTTTTTCTCTTTTGTGTTTGTGTTTTGTTCCTGGTTTGTGGGTGGTTTGAGGGTGCCACTGGTAGGTTTTGATTCTTTACTGTCCATCTGTTGCTTCTGTCTGTCTGTCTGTCTGTCTGTCTGTCTGTCTGTCTGTCTGTCTGTCTGTCTGTCTGTCTGTCTGTCTGTCTTACGTTTCCCAGCTCTAGATGACCCTTTTGGTGTGATTGTGCTTATTTTTACTCAAACTCAAAACTTGGAGAGTGTTTGGATAGGTGGGCGGGTACTTTGGTGTTGTTTGATTCTTCTTTCTTATCAAACCTAATCTATTGTCGTGATTTCTCCTCCCCCTTTTCTTTTGAAAATTATTTTATTACTCTTTAGTAACACCTTTAGTCTTCGGCACGTATAAGATCCCTCTGTATTGCAAGTACTTTAACTTTAAATTACTCTTACAAAGGCTACCCCCCTCCCTCCCCATTCCTTCCGTTATTTCTGTATTATGTTCGTCGATCCCCCTGTATTGCAAGTACTTTAACTTTAAATTACTCTTACAAAGGCTACCCCCCCTCCCTCCCCATTCCTTCCGTTATTTCTGTATTATGTTCGTCGATCCCCCTGTATTGCAAGTACTTTAACTTTAAATTACTCTTACAAAGGCTACC